TATTATAATGATAAAATGTTAATTTTTTTAAAATTTTTATTAAATTATCAAAATTTATTCTTTTGTCTTAATTATTTCAATTTCATCTTCTTTCTCCAAAATATAAATATAGTCAATATGTTTTAATTCTTTAATTGATGTTGGTTGATTTTAAGATTAACCTTCTCAATTTTGTCCACAATAATTATGGAATTATTGATACTATGGAACATGTAATTTAAATTTATGTGGTATTATTTTTGCTAAAGAAGTTCAAACAATAATAAAAAAAATTAATATAAGATTGAGAGAGTTTCAACTATTCTTAAGAGTGTAGGGTTAGAAGATGTTAGAAGTAAAAAAAACACAATGTAACACCAATAAGAAGCATAAAACGAGTCTAATTACAAGCAAAAGTATAAGGAGAAAAAAGGTGAGTTACAATAATAATTATAGTGATAGAATTTTCCATTTGAAGTTCAAAGAGAATGATTTATCAATTTGTAAGTGTGACTTTATTTATTTTAATAAGCATCAATAAAGTCAATAATGAATGTGTAGAGAGCATAAGTGTAATGCTCCGGATTTCATATTAATATTTTGTTTAATAGTGTAAATATGTGAATTATTGTTTGAATGTGTAATTGATATGAATATGTGGGTATTAGTTGAGTGTACATTTGAGGTACATTATGACTTGAAAATATGTGTGTATGTGGGATGATGTGAATATATATAGATATATTGAATGGATGTGTGTAAATGTATTTATATATGATGGTTGGAATGAGAATATTGACTTGTGCTTGATTGGGCTGATTGAAAAAATAGGCTGAATATGTGTTGCAAAGGCATTCTCGTTGTAGCAAGAGTGTCCTGAGCGTAGGGTGTGATTCTATTGTGTTCACACTGTAACGAGAGACCTCTCGCTGTAGCGAGAAAATAACAGAAAGGGGTGCATTTTTTGATGCAGTCTCGCTGTAGCGAGAGTTTTTCACTGTAGCGAGATTCTATAGAAATCAGAGTGCAGTTTTCTCTGAAATTTTCGTTGTAGCGAGAGTGTCACAACTAGAGGGGTATTTGAGGGGTTTGTAGTTTGGAAAAATCATTTTCCTACTTCTCCCTTTGAGCTCTCTCTCATTTCTCTCGATTCCCAAACCATTCTTACCGATTAAATTGTCTCTAAAGTCGTTTTGATGCAAGATTAAAGGTTAGAAATATGTTTGAAACAATTGAAGGTAAGTTTATGGGCTAGGGTTTTGTCCCTACATCTCTTTCTTCGTTTTCTCAAGTTCTCATGGAGATTTTCCATGATTTAGGGACAAAGCACTGTGTGGGGAACATTTTCTGCTATTGTTTTGTGTTGGGTCTTTGATTTGAGGTAAGGGGGACTCTACCCTATCTCCTTTGTCTTTAAATATGTTATTTTGTTATGTATTGTAATGTGGATGGTTTGGAATGTGAGTATTTTAATGGAATTGATTGATTGTAGTAAGATTGTGGTGGAAAGATTGTGTAGAATATCATGCGTATAATGGAATAAATTGATGGATATGGGTTGTGTTGGAAATGTTGTGCGTTTAAATGTAACACGAATGAATGTAGACGTGTGTGTCATATGTGAACATGAATTCTATTTGTAATTGAGAATGTGGTTGTAAATATGCGTGAATGGTATGTTATATGCAATTGTGGATATATTGAAAACTATGAATAGTTCAGCGATACACTAAAAATGTGGAAGATAGGGGCGGTAGAAATACCTTAAGGAAGATAGGGTAGTGGTGACACCAACAGTAAACATAGATGCACCACAAGCCATACACTCTCTTCTTAATTCGACCTCTGACTAACACCTTTGTCGAGGGGCTTGTGACCATACACGTTGTATCCGTGAGACGAGGGCTAACCGACGACCATCCATGATGTGAAACTGTGATCACAGTGCTACAGTGAGAGTGGCTACGTGCAGTGAACACACATGTGTGTGTGTGTGTGGATTATTTGATGGTACAGTGAGCACACCTATGTGTGGATTGGTATGAAATGTTGAAAAGTGATGAATGTGTTAATTGATGCATGATTTTAATTTGGTAGTGAATATGTTTGATATGCGAAGGTGACTCTTTGTGCTTATGTGTGATAATGTAGAATACTCACCCTTACATTTATTTTTTAGGTGACCAAGATGATCAGCATCAGACTTAATTAAGGGATGGATGAGACTGTTATAGGACTAGAAATTTATTTTTGAGAACTCTGATGTAATTAAATGAGTCCTGTAGCAATGATTTGATGCAAATTGCAAAGTATCTTTATTTTGAAACATTTTAATAAACTATGTCTTTAGAAATCACTTGAATGAAATTTTTTATTTCTCCCATTTTGTGAAATTTTAATTATTTAAAAATTTAAATTAAGGTGTTACAATAAGGGAGTCAATGATGTCATAAAATCATAAAAAGAGTAGTAAAGAGGTCCTATGTTGCACTTAATACTCAACATCACAATATTTGAGACATCGTGTTAAATGAGCTAGCGATCGGCCAGGTTCAGACTGAAATCACTCAATCCAAAGACAATTGTTGGATGAATATCTTGGTTTGTTTCTATTCAAATTTGATCTTGAGTTCTTTAGGTAGGTTACATCGAGTTATTATTTCTCTATCATTGCCACCAAAATCATTGAAAGAAAAGAAAGAACAAAGAGAATGAATGGTGTAGAGTGAAAGAATAGCATAGAGAAGAAACACAAAGATTTAGTTATACTCTCATCATCTTTCTCAACTTCTTTTTTCTTCTAACGAGAATGACAAATCATGAATTTTTGGTCCTCTTATAGTAGCTTGAATGAAGAGGACAAGGAGAAAGTATCACTTACTTATATTTAAATCCAATTCAATCCTCTTAAAATTAAAAAAATATTTTTTGAGTCTTACAATTTCTATCGGATATAATAATTATGCCCACTCCTAATATAAAATAAAACTTTAGAATCATTTTTGGATTTTTATTTTTTTTAAAGTCCAATATTACATGCAATCATGTATAAAAGAAAATTAAATAAATAAATAATTATGCACGTGACAAATTAAACAAAAATATTTCAATTACACATAGTAAGCATTTTACCATCTTTATTCAACAGAATATGGTTAACTCATAACTTCATAAATATAGATTAAAATAATTGTTTATAAAAATTTAAATAAATTTTAATAATTTTATTAGAATTAAAAATAAATTTATTTTTAAGTAATATAATTATGTATAACTTTATTAGTCACATCAGAATTTATCAGAGACTAAAAATTGATAAAGACTAATCCTAATAACTATTTTATATTAATTAAGAACTAAAAAATTATATTTCAATAACTTTTTAAAAACATATTTAGTCCATTGGGAATATGTTAGTTAATTTAGAACCTTGAATAGAAAAGACAATTGCAGGCAGCTCACACCACTCGTGCACTTCCAAGGCATGAAAGTTTGTTTCACTGCTCGAGGAGACCCCATTTTGTATCAAACAATGCATAGAATTCCCTCCATTGGGCCCACTAAGCTTTCGCTTTTAAACTTTCTTTTTTCTCTCTCAATGCTTTCTCTTTCTCGTTGCCTAGAAATCAACAACATCACGCAATTTGTCCTTTCCTTTCTATCTTTTTTGTTTGTCTATATCCCCTCATTTTCCTTCTTTATGATGAACAATCATGGAAGGTGCGAATTAATAGTCCACCCAACCATACTTTTTATCTTTTCATATTATTCATATGTAGAATAATGTAAAGCATTGTCTCAATAATAAGATAAACACATTCTTAACATGATTTATATAATAACAAGTTTTGGTTATATTTCGGGGTATCTATTTTGTCTCACATTTTGTTTCATTCTCTTTATTGTGCATACTTTGCGCTTAAAATAAATTCCATCTCAGTAATAATGCCTCTAATTCTAAATAAAACACCTTTGTAAAAACGTAACAAGAATTAACAAAGGTTGTTAACTAGCAATATTAAATTTATCAACAAATTGATTTTTTTAAATTATTCTTAAAATTATTGAGACTCTTTAACTTTCTTTTTATCTAATGAATTACCTTTTTCTAATAAGTATATTTTTATAAGAAAATAATTAATGCAAAAAAATAACTTGCTTACAATCTTACAGAAAAGATCATGATAAATTCTCCAAAAAAAGTCTTATCTTTAGAATCAGAAGTAATATTTAGCAATTTAAAATTATTTTTATTAAAATTAATTTGATATAACTTTAAAGTTAAGAACATTTTTATCTCTACTCTATACTGTAACAGCGAAAGCAAAATAAATGAAAGAGTCTCTTTTAGCCTTTCTCCATGGTTCCAAAGAGATTTCTTTGAAAGCAAATTCAATAAGCAGTACTAAGACTGAGAAGTATGGAAGCACTGAATGAAACCAATCATTAAGAGAGAACCTATTTCGTATTTCACATAAATGTAAAACCCAATAACCTTTAAAAGTTGGCCAAAAATCTAACTTTTTGCCATTACCAGGCTAAGCATTTAGGCAACAAAGTCAACTTGCATGCCATCCATTATGAAATTCTTTCTCCTGGTTGCATCGACTAAACAAGTAAATTAAAAAGGTACCTATAATCCTATGTCTTAGGCACAATTTCCACAAGCAAGAGAAAAGAGTTGTTGCAGATTAACTCACTCAAAAAAGTATGTGTACGTAGATTCACAACAAGCATTACATCAATTAACTGACTATTAGTATTAAGGCACTATCTTTTAAACAGTCCTTGATAATATCATAAACAGGGTTGATCCTGATTTTTTCATAGTTGTCAAATAAACTATAAATATGAAGAAATTCATTTTATTCACGTATGTTTTGGAATTTTTAAATGAGAAAACAGAATCCATGAGAACATTTACTGTGAAAACCAGAATTTATTACTGTGTGAAAAATCACAAACTTCATAAAGCTTATGCATGATGGACTAGCCATATGATTAACCAAAACTGTCTGTTAATTACTTCTAAATTCTCAATCCCAAAATTTGTCTGACAAAATTTTCACAAATATAATAAGAAAAGAAAAATGTGGATTGGAACAATGGCATTTGATGCCTGGAAAAGAGTCACAATCTGGACTTGTATTCAACTGTAACTTGGAAGTTGCAAGCTACTCCTTAGTTGTTGTGTTCTCAGTCACCCCTTCATTATTTTCTTGTTTATCAAGTTGACTGAAGTTACCTTTCTGCTTGAACAACTGAGTATGATGGTGCCTACAATAAAGACGATGTTCGTGGGCCACATAATTTGAGGGACTAATTACACATCCTCCATGGGTGCACCTGAAACAAGCCTTATGGTAAGATGTTCCATCAACAGCTACCTGAAAAGAACAGTGGACAGTGCCATCATGAACATAAAGTATGGTGTAAAACACTAATATTGTTTCCTAACAAGAACACATGGTTTCAAAATAGTTCCATCACTCTGTCTCTTCCTCTACTTTCTATCTCACCAATGCACCCGCATAATGATAACAAATACATGGACGGAGACTAAGTTGTTGTTGTGCCTCCTTCTCCACCAACAGGAAAATAAGGGGTTGTCAACTAGTCATTGCCAATATAAGTATCCTGAAATTAAATGGATTTAATCCCTTCTAATTTTTCCCAAATTAAAAATGGAGACTTAGAGAAACAAGTGTGGGTTATCTATTAATTTATGCTTGCTCTTCAATGATAAGATCACAAAAAGATAAAATGAGTATCTCTTCCTTTAATATCTGGATTGTAGTGAAATAGGTTACTTAAGTTGGCCCTCTGTAGCTCATTTCCTTTGTATTGAATTTTAGCTCTTTTACTTCTTTCCTCACCACTTTGCTAATGTCTTTGTACTGATACAATATTTGAATTCAGGAAATACTGAATACAATAGGTGGCCAATGGCAAATCTGAAGCCTTATTATCATCTCAGCTTTCCAGTGGTTCTAAGCAATCATCACTTTGATGGACTCTGTTGAGTATCACAAGTTTAATATTTTCGTTGTGGCTTGAGCCAAGTCTAATTAAGTTCTTACAACTTCTATATCTTAGATCAAAGAGGAACACCAATCAAATAATGTTTGAGAGGGAAACTAATGATCTCTATGTAATAATGTTGAGCAAATAAATTAAATGAAAGTATACACAAAACATGGATAAAGAGATTCTCGGACTTTATATAATAATTTAGAAGTAAGGAGAGTTTGACAACAAAGATCATTTTCACTAGATATGAAGAAAAAAAAATGATAAAAATAGTTATATACCTTTTCAATTGGATACACCGTTTTCTTGCAAGCAACACATTTTTCCTGAGTTCCAGCAAACAAATTTGAAACTCTGCTACTGATTTGGACCTAAGGAATTCCAGAGAGAATTTACTATATAAGAATCAAACAGAAAGGTATAAAAAATCTTCATCTAAGAATAAGAATCCTAGGATGAGAAGGAATTTTGTATATTAATCAGATTTAGAAAACCTGATCAGTAGATCTTTCAAGTCTAGCAGTTCTTGGAATACCTACAGGCAATAAATATCTGTTAAGAGGAATCAAGAAGAATTAAGCTTGGTAAAAGGATGATCTGAATAATATGTGTTTATGCATCATAAACAACTAAACAACATCAATTCACCTTCAAAACTCTTCTCCAAGCTGCCGGTCTTCTTAAATAGTTGATCAAAATGAGGCTTACAATATAGAACACCCTCAAAGGAACAAAAATTACTCAACTGCAGGGATGCATGAGGAAAACATGATTGAGGATGTATTAATCACGCAATCTTTCTCTATTTCATACTTTAAGGTTCTAAGAAAAACAACCAATTTGCCACGGAATACCAAACAAACATCCATCTGTACTGACATTAATTAGCTCCCATTTTGTGTTACCGGCGTACAGATTCTATTTTTTAAAACATCTAAAATTATTGAGTCAATGGACACTGGGAATGAATAATTTTAATTAATGCACATCCCAAAGTTGAATATCACATCGAGTAAGACAACAATTAGATTAATAGCATTTTGTGCTTTGCAGATTCAACCAGAAAGGTACTACACAGTGCCAAACTTTCCTCCAAATAGACATTGGCCTCTATCTCAGGTGACTTGCTTACATATTCTAATTTTAAAAAAGTAAAATTAAAATTAGTAAATCAACGGGCACCATGGAAATGAGTAGCTATAATTCATAATTTCAATGTGTATCTCATTTTCAAATATCACTGAATAAGACAGCAGTCAGATTAATGGGCATGCTTTGCAGGTCCAAATGTGAATTCTTAAATTTCCATAACTAAAATAAATAAACAAATAGATACAGCAAACGGGAGTAGTTTCTTTCTAGGTTACCAACAGATGAGAGTAATACAGAGTACCAAGTGTGATCGTTGGATCATGCCAAAAGGCATATATGTATGATCGTACAAGAACAAGAGAGATTCTAGAGTTAAATAAAATAATGGAACAGCAAATGACAGATGGAAAAGAGTGTGAAGCATTGTTAGAAGAATTGAAGATAAGGAGTATAGAAATGTGGATCCTCTGTGACCAAAAAAAAAAAAAATGCGGATCCTCTCATGTTAAATAACATGGTATGGTCATCTTGCAGAGAAAAAGACATTATTGTTTAACAGAGAATCCACCAGTTAAATTTGATAAAATTCGTATATCTCTCTCAAAATGATCATATAATGTTATTTATCAACATGAGATGATTCAAATCCGGTAAATAGTTGCTATATATAACCAGAATCTTAATTAATAAAAATATCAAGCCTTGATTCTATACATTCTGGTCATTCACGAGCCTTTAACTATTCAGGGCCACAATACTTTCCATAATCTTCCTGAAAAATTTGTATTTACTTCTTCATCCTACGTCAACCTTGATCTCCCTCTCTAACATCTAATAACTACCTTCATATTTACCCTATCTACCATAACCAAGTTCATGACTAAACTTCTCATTTTCTCCAACAATCCGATTCAAATCATGCGCAAAACACTCTCTGGTAATTGCTAGAAACAGAACAAATTATCTACTAGATATCCATATCAAGTTTCCTCATGAAACTCACCATGCAGGGAAGGATACAAAGCAATCATATTCATAATTTATACCAAAAGCAGAACCAAGTGAATCAGCAAAATTAGCTTAACACCAAACTAACAAACAAGGAAGAGGGTTTTCTGAATAAAACATGTGGGCACGAAAGTCAAATGTATCCAACCTTGAGGGTACCCTTACAGTGGTGACATCTGAAGCAAGATTTGTGATAGACCTTGTTGTCAGCAGTGAGCTGATCCACCAAGTAAACTGTTTTCTCGCATGCTTTGCACTTCTGTGTAGTGCCTGCAAATGATGCCATCTCGAGTTTAACAATTCAGAAAAGAAGATAACTCTTTTTCTTGATTTCTCACAAGTACCACACCCAGTTTCTTTTTTTAACTTTTTTTCTTTTCTTTTTTCATTTTTCTTTTTTCTTTTATAAATAGCTCTGACTCAGACAAATCCAGAGGAGCAGTTAAAAATGCTGATCATACATCTACCTACTCTTCAAACTTACTAGAGACAAAAAAAAAATAAAAAATTGTACTCGTAAATCATAATCATAAAATCGTAATAATGACTAGTTTGGTGACTTGTAGTTTGGTGGTGACGGCTTTGGGCAAAGTAAATGACCATAGTACCATCGATGACGTGGCCAATGACCGCAGGTATCTCACATTCAGTGGGCAGGTAGTGCCGTAGTGACACTAATTTCTATTTTGTACCAAGATTCGAACATATCGCGGTGTTTACGAAAGTTGTCGTGTTTTCACTTATCTTTTCAGGAGTGGTGGTCTCGCAGCATACATTGATTATTCGATTCTCTGAAGATTAGCAGGTAATATAATTTGTAATAACATCAAGATTAATAAGAAACTAAAAATAAAAATATAGGGATTGAAAACAAATTTTGAAAAAACAAATACAAATTTAAAAACGTTTGGTGTGCAGAATCTTTTTAATTTTGGAAAACTATGTTTCTTAGAAATTTTGTCTGTATAGAATGTTAAAAAATATACAGTGTATTTTAAATATTTTTAAAAATATTATATCATTATTCCTAAAATATTTTAATATTTTGTTTAGTTTAAATATTATTTATTAGAAATATTAATGTTTTCTTGGTAGAGAGAGAAAAAAAATAGAAATACAAATTATAAAATATGTAAACTATTATGTTAACTATAGTTCACAGATAATATGACATACAAATATATATAAAAAAATTTTTACATAAAATTATGAATATCTCGTAGAAAAGCATATTTATTGATGTTTATTTTTTCGTAATAAAATTTACCACTTTTAAATAATCAAATTTTAAAATAATTACATGATTACTTTTAAATTTGGACAAGTAAATATTTTAAAAGATTGTTTTTGATTAAAAAAAAAAACTTATTACTGTTAAGAGAAGTAAATTTTGTGAATTACTTGTTATTATAATTTTGTATAACGCTACCATAATTTATATATGGTCAATCTTATAATTATCGTTCATATGATAAGTGATTTTAAAGGTTAACTTATTTAAAATTAATAAAAAACAAAGTTTTTTACAATGACTAATAAAAATTGAAGACATAATAAATACTTTATTTTCCTTATAAAGAGTTTTAAGTTGTTTGAAATTAATATTTCTTTTAAAATGTGACTTTCGTATTTTTTTAATTTTAAAAAATAAATTATTAAAATAATATTTTTTTAAATTTTTTTTTATCTAAAACTTTTTTTCACATCATTACTAGTTTCACTTTTTTCAAAGACTTTCACATACTTAGATGGACAAATTTTATTTCTTTTAAATAAATTCATATGTTTAAAAAATTATTATAAAATAAATTAAGTTTAAATTTAAAAATATTTAGAGGTGTAATTGTATTCTTATATTATGAAAATTATCACACCATTAACTAAAGTTATGCTTATCTAAAAAAATGTATGTAGAGAAATAAGATAAATTAAGTTTAGATTTAAAAATAATAAGATATAATTATATTTTATAATATGAAAAAAAAATCACTTTCACAAGAATTATAGATTTTTATCTCTAATGGAAATATTTTTTTAATAAAATTAATTAAAAATTAGTTTAATAATGTGTGCAATGTACATGTATTTTATTTTAGAATAAATATACATGTAATTTGATTATTAAAAAAATATTTTATATTTTATAAATAATTATACATATATAATATAATAAAATACATTTAAAATATAATATTATATATATATATATATATATATATAACCATAACTTAAAGAGATAAAACTCTTAAAAATAAGTTTCATATTTAAAAAATTTGAAAAATTAAGATAATTTTTATATATTTAAAAATAATATGTAAGAAAATATAAAAATTTATATAAGATAATAATAAAAAATTTAAATAATAATTTTTTTAAGAATAAAACTAATATAACAAGTAAAAAGTAAAGTTATTAAAAAAATAATATAATTCACACATTATTTTTAGTTAACACTATAATCTTAAACATGTTCATTCTTACTTAAATGATTTTGTTGTCATATAAATTGTTTGATTATAAATTTTTTATTATTTTTTGACATAATAATTATAACATTCTACAATTTTTAAGCATAAAATGGATACTTTATTTATACTAATTCAAGTTAAAATACCAATTTTCATATATGATAAGTCTTATAATTACAAGTTAATAAAAGTCTCTTTATAAATGAGTTTATTTATATAAAATTTTCAAACTATGCAATATTAATAGAAATAACAATATATTTAAAGACTATAATAAGGCAGAATCAATTCTTCTTAGTGGAAAAGCTGAATATGCATTATATATATCAACTATAATAATTTACAAACTTTTTTGTCAAAATATATGGGACTTAAAGAGCAATCCCAAAATATCCCAACACTGAGGATCAGGTGCTAGTCATTCTCATGTCACCTCTTTATCTCCTCTAGAACCTCAGAGTTAAGATCATCATCTGATTCGAGATATAAATCTCCCGAGTTGGTCGCAACCTCAACACCTCTGATCCGTTCACCAATAACTGGAGTTGGCTTTCCATGATGGTTATGGTTATGATATGTAAACAGATATGTGAAAGTTACTGAGGTCCTAACTGTCTCTCTATAGATATAGATACATAGATTATGGTGTATTCTACTTATAGAAAAATCAAAAGGAATACTATAAAATAGATTCATTTCTAACATAATAATATTCCTACGTATATCATTAACATGGACAACAAATCTAAAATAACATGTTCTTTGATACTCATTAAATACATAATTAAGTCTATTATGTACAAAACTGTCTATTAACCTAATTCTTTCCTGAGGCGCTATCATCCTGGTTTCTTAAAAATATTAATAAGGATAAGCGTCTATTCTATTATTTATAAATCATTACATCACAGAAACATAGTTGTAATATAAAGAAAAATATATTCATTTTCACAACTCATTCGCATTGTGAACATATTCACATATACACAACTTCACGATTTATTATACGTTATCTAATTTTTCTTTCCAATACGCCAGTGCATTGTGATCACAATATTAATGCCTTCAGCATTTATTGAAGTATTACTCAACTAGGTATAATCAGAAGTATAATCAGGAAATGAGTGTGAGGCCATGTGACACATTTGCTCTCAAAAAGAGTGTGTACACATACGCGAATGTCACTCACCACCCTACATTTTTTCTAGATTTCTCATCATCTCCGGACTCTATATCCCCTAGTGTATCTCTGTAACTATTCACACTAGATTCAATCCATATTCAACACTTAAATTCATTCTCAAAATTATTTCGTTCTCCACTCATAAGATTGCGCTTAATAAAACACTTCTCATCTCACTCACACCATTAGAATATACTTTCAAACATAATGTTCTTCAAGCTAATATCATATTTTATTATAACCACAATTACTCATATACATATTTCATGTTATCACATCATGATCACTCATTATATATTTCATGTGAACATATCACAGCCAATCAATCTAAATAATCAAACATGTATATTCTCAGCTATCATTCATGAATAATATATTTCAGACATATTCTTTCATAAAAATACTTATATAATAATGCTCCAATGAGCACAAAATAAATATTTTAATATAACGATAAAACAAAGCTTTCCTTACCTCGACTTAAGTATATGGAGAGATATTGATGAAGATTAGAATTCAACTATAGAAGTTCTCCTGAGTACTGAGAGATATCCGTGAGAAATGAAAAATACAAGAAATGATCAGAGAAAAAGAAGTTTAATCCAGAGAAACTTACTTGGAGTCATTTAAATTCAACGTCCAAGCTCAGATTTGAAAAGTAATCGGAGTTTGAGGGAGTTTTATCTGAGTAAAGGAAATGAGAGTTCAGAAAAAATGTGAAGGGAATGTGAGGTTTGGAATGTAATGAAATTTCCATTCTGAAAATATCTTAAATACCCTTCAGCCTCGCGCTCTCTCACTTGAACGGGGAACAACTCATTTGAGCGACAGACTTCTCGCCTGTGCGAGCTCCATCTCGCTTAAGCGAGATATGCAGACGGTAGTTTTCTCAACTATTTTCTGATATGCTTATGAGTCCTTACATAAGCGACTCATCTCGCTTGAGCGAGATCTCAGCTCGCTGAATGAGATCACTCTCGTTTAGGAAATATGACAGTTGAGTTGAATTTATCTTATCTCACTTGAGCGAAAATCATCTCGCCTGAGCTAGATTGCCCTTAAACCTTATAGTTCTAAGCGCTCAGTCTCATTTTAGCAAAATTTGTCTCGCTTGAGCGAGACCTCTTACACCAGACTTTTTCCTATAACTCTCATAATTCACATCTAAATTCATTCTAATACTACTTATATTAAACAAAGTATCATTTATTGAATAATGAAAAAGAGTGTGTTATAATAATTTTATCTCTATTTAATCTATCAAAAGTAAGAATTGATTTTCTAAAATAATGACCAATCATTGTTAAATAAAAATTTTATTTTTTTAAAATATTTTTTTGTAACCATTATCACCTTGTAACCACTACCACCTTTCCATTATTATAGATCCAAAAAATATATTAAAAAAATCAATTAAACTAGAAATCAATCAAAATGTAATCTAAAAAAATTGCATTTTATATTTCATTTGAGTTTGATTTTCATTCACATTCTTAAACCTCAACCCCTACATTTCTAATAAATTTATATTATAAATATTGTATTTTATATAAAAAATTATTTTACTCAATTTTATTATAACACAGTATAAATGTATAATACATCACTTCTACTTTAGATATCTAATTTTCTAAGTCAAATATTTTCTCTCTTTTTTTCTATCAATAATTTTTGAACTTTTTTTTATAATTTTATCTTTTTAATCATTATTTCTTTTATAAATGTAAGCTAAACATTCTCAATAACATTCTTAATTATTAATCAAAATTTATTAAAAATTATATTAATTTTCCTCTCTTGATCTAATAATTCTCAAGTTTGAAATGCAAAAGCTACTCTAGGTAGCTCCAAAAAAAAGTTACGACCTTATTTTTCTTTCGCCACCCTTCTTCATAAAGAAAGAAAACCATCCTAATCAGCTTCACGGAATTCTTGCTTCCCAGCCCAACACCATGAAATGAGGACTTAAAGAAACTAGCAAAATATTATTGCCAGCACTAGGTTACAATTCCCATTAATATGATTATCGGATTCATAAACATTTCAGGCAAAGCTTAATTATAGAATTGCATCACACAACGCATAGATCATCACAACACCCCTCTCAAATAACTGTCACCCTCAAACTTGGCTGAACGAGTTCTATCTGTTTTTCAGACCTAAAGGCCACAAATTTGTGATCTGCCAATTTGTTATCAACTTTTTCGTCAGGCAGTGTACATCTTGAATAGTGAAAATACTACTACTAATGCACAAGCAAGTTTGGTTCAAATGCTTTTCTGCTTATTCTAAAATGGCTAATCTCTTAACGACCAAATGGTTGCCACAAAAAAACCAGGACACAGAAAATTAACATCCCAAAATTCACTTTATTCTGAACTTTCAGAACATTACTGTTTCTGAGATTCTTCTCTCGCAACTGCTCTGACATATATTTCGTAACAGCAGCCTGAAACACCACAAAAAAACATACAAGAACATTGAAAATGATGGAAACTAGTAAAGATTGTTTCAAGAAAAGTTACATACCAGTACCACAAAATAATGTATGCTCAGTTACACATGCAGAATTTTCAGTGCATGCAAAATCGTCAATTAATGAAAACTGTCTAGATATTATTCCATAAGTTCCTGGTTGGGGACAACGCCAAACACAGGCAACGTGTTCATGAATGTGTAGTGACTGAGAATTCCAGATTTTAACAAGCTCAAATTTTTTAGCAAATACTATAAATAATTTTCACTGATTGAAAGTAATTATATAAAGACCTTCAAAGGAAACACATACACCGAGTACACTCAGTAAGAAAAATGACTTATTGATCCAATCACAGACTGGCCCTGTAACAATGACAATATCCAAAATGCTCCACTCCCAAAGGGTTAAAGAGAACCACATTCTCTTTTCAATGATATTTTTTCGAAAAAAATTTTCATGATGTATTTGTCATAATCTATCATATTCAGCAACCCCAATTTATTTAAGTAATCATATTTCAGAAATCAAACTGCAGAGGCATACTCGATTTGCAAATCACTAGAGACTTTTACCTACACTGCAAAGGCATACTGGTTTCCAAATCACTAGAGTCTTTCCCTATGCCAAACATCAAATCTAGCTCAGAATGATCATTTTGAATTCATCTATTCATAAGTTTCAGAGAAGCCAAATTCAAACACAGATTTGAATACTGTATTTTTCTTTTGAGGCTTTCAAAAACTTTAAAATTCACTCCCTTATGCACAATTAGCATGTTTTTTTTAGTTTGGCAAACAACTCCTTGCCTCCTCAAACAACGAAGATTAAATCATCTTCTGGCATTAAAAACTTTTACAAAAATGTTACAAAAAATCATTATTGATGATATCTGGATGCTTTTCTGAAATTCAGCAACTTAATCTCAATGGGGTACGTGATGTTGGCAACAAACATTCACATGTCATCACCAGCTTTGGGAACTTGATGGAAAAAGTTAAAAAAAAAAAAAAAAAAACTTTATCTATGTTTTCCAAATTATGGTTATCAAAGTTAGTTTATTAGGATTACAAGAATAAGATTTGAGCTTAGAATGACAAGAGAATGTGAGTAAGGCCAACGAATTTGAAATGAAACAAAAACACAGAAAAAAATCATGAGGCCAACTCAAATGTTTTAGCAACAATGAGCCTCCAGATTTCAGACTGTTTTATCATTGTATTCAACAACACATAAACTGTAACAAAATAGGCTGGCTCACACAAACAAACAAATTTTCAGCTCATTAACAAGTGATTTCAATCCTTGAGAGATAATAACACACCCCCTCACATTTACACTTCTACACATCAAAGTCATTCTACTTCCTGTCACAAATTACAACACCCAAACCCTCACTCCTTTCATCAAAATCAGGGTTAAGGACCACATACCTGCAACAACAACAACTGTCAGAACATCCCCAATTCTTTTCAGTTGTTTCACACTCCGCTTATAAGATTTGAATGGCTTCAGAGCTGAATCCTCTGCCAACAGCTGCCACATAATCCAAGCAATAATATTAAACGCAGAAGCAAGTAAAAGAAAACATAAAAACAAATGCATGCTCTGCAATATGACAAATGTGCTTAAACAGGTAAATCAGTCTAAAGTGAAATTCTGCAATGGATTTGCAAAATGTTCAAGAAAAGGAAGAAAAATATTTTCTTGTTAGCATCATAATGTGTAGCAAACTCTCTACTTATTCATTGCAATACTGAAGCCAAATTGACATATTCTTCAAAACAGTATCAGAAACACATTGCCGCAATTAGTTCAATCCTGACTCCAAATATTTCGTTACAAAATGAATCTATTAAAAAACAAAAAAAAACAAAAAAAACCAATCTTATTGATAAACTTCCAACAGAAAGCCGAAAAAGCATCGAGGGTCAAAATGAAAAATCAATGCCTTAGTATGTTTTAAAAAAAAATCCCTAATAATAATCCAGTTATAAGGTTAACTCAAAGCAACTAACTATACGTGGAGATAGGTGATCTAGAAGCACTAAATTGTTTTAATACAGTGAAAATTAACCCCCCCCCCCCCCAAAAAAAAAACAAAAAAACAGAGAAAGGGTAAAAAAACTCTAGCTTACAGCCTTTTCACGAGGCCCGGGTTCGATGTGGAATCGACGGCGCGGGAGAGAAGCCAAATCTTCAGTCTTCTGCTTTAACAAAAGCGATTTTCGGTATAAGGAAAACGAATCATAGAGACAAATAGGAAACCTTAAGTACATGATTCTGTTTTTTGGTACATTTAACTACATGAAATTAAAATGATTTCGAATCGATATATTTAAAGAATTCTAAATACCTGAGAGTGAGATCGAAAATGGGAAGCGATGGTGGTTTTGCTCAACAAGAACGCCATTTCTCTATTTTGCGTTTTGATGTGAAAATGAGATTGGTCAAATTCGCAGCTCCAGGAAGCAAAGGTGAAGGGACAAGCTCTGGATTTTGGTTAGAATATATTTTCACTTATATAATTAAATATAATTAATTCCATTTTAATTTGTTCTTTGTATGACAAAAATGTTTCCACATAAAATAGAAAATAAATGTTTGCAATCAGGCATTTTGCCATTTTGTTATTTTTGGTTTTTTGTCTTGGAGGCACTTTCCATGTTCTTCTTCTATTTACTTTTTTTTACAGTCAAAATTTTACATAATCTTCTTTGTTTTTGGGTCAACTTTACATATTGTTCTGATTACAGAACCAGCCCATGGGTTCAGCTCAAATGCTCTAAAAGGCCCGCAATGCTTGTCTGATCCGAGATACAGGGACTAGGGTTCATCACGAGAGATTATATTTTACGTGGAAAAAAAAAAAGCGAGATTATTTTTCACACCACAATTTTCTTTTATAGTTGTATCACTTTTTTTTTTCTACTTTTCAGGATTTACTTTTTAAAATAATATTTAAAGTGTTTTAAAAATTAAGTTTTGAAATATATTTATACATTATTTTTACAATTTTATTTTTGAAAAATACATTTAAAAAATCATTTCAGAAATAATTCATAAATAATTTTTGAAATGTATTAAATAAATTTTAAACATTAAAATTTTCTTTTATAGTGTGAATTGTCAATTAAAGTGGTGTAAATAGCAACCATTCATAGTTATGATATTTATTTTTTAATTTCAAAATATTCAGTTCCCCAGTTCCTACTCCTTCCCCCAGACAAAAAAGAAGACAAATCATAGTCAAGATTTGGTTTCGTTGTTTCACATGGGAGGCTTGTGAATTGACAACTTTTGCTGAACCCTGCAGTGAGGACTTGTAATGCAGGTATTTTTTAAAGTAAAGATTTTCTTTTTTCACAATTTAGCAAGTATGGAAAGAATATAAAAGAAATGGGACACAATATACTCTAATAATTTCTTTCAGTCAACTTTTAGTTAACTCAAATAAAAAACACATTTATTATTATTTTTACTCCCTGTTTCTTTTTTAATAAATTTTGATTATTTCACATTGTTAACTATTACAATATAGTCGGAGAGATAAATATATATTTTTATCAAATTAACTATAAAATTTGCTAATTTTAATTAAGGTTATTTTTTAATGACTATATTATTCGATGATAAAAGAATCTTTTAAATACAATCAAATAAAATATTATTTATAAACCATCCACACAAAACTATTCAAAAGAGAATACTAACAATTTTTTAACATATATTTAAGGATACATGTTAACAAGTTGAAAAATAATACTTTTTTTATTCTAAAAAAGTTGAAATATTTAATATAATAACATAATTCTATAATATCTTATTTTTTAATAAGAATTTATTATAAATAATTTTTATTCTGTCAAAACTCAAGAACTTGCTAATTTGCTCATTTAAGTATTGGTGTGCTTTTTTCAGATATCTATTTACCCTGATCACAGTTGCTCATAGCAATAGAGAGAACTAGTCCAATTCTAACATAAAAGTCGAATGCTTGTACACATGTATGATTAATTTCAATTTTAAACTAGGGGTGTGCACAAATTCGGTCGATATAGATTAAAAAAAAACCTAAACCAAAGTAAACTAATCATAATATATTAACTTTTTGTTTTTGTCCGAGATATTATTAAATTGTATAAATTTCGATTAAGATGATGAGTAGTGAGTTTGACAGGTGATTTTAATCAGGTGATTAAGTAAAGCTTGGAAGAGAGTTGGAGAATGGAGATGGTTGCCAGAAAAATAAAAATGAAAAATAAAATGCAATGTGTTTGCAAATGAAAAATAAGAACCGAAAGAAAAATACTTTTCCTTCTCTAATACTCTTCTTTCTCTCACATGTTTACCATTTGAAAGTAATTTTAGAAAATAAAAATACTTTTTCTTCTCTTACCAGCTCACTGATTCACATATCTTTTTTCTATATATGTATCATAAAACAAATGTCTTTCGTCTTCATAAAAGCTGTATTTCTATCTTTGTCAATGTATACATTAGAATCAATACTTCATTTATTTGAATCGGATTAAATAACAAAAAATCTAAAATCTAAAATCGAATTTAACCATATAAATTGATTGCAAATTAAACTTTTTAAAATATTGATTCAAAATCCGCTCCAATCCACCCGTTTCATGGTTTTTTCTGCTCAATGGATGTGTGTTTGGTTGGATTATTATGGGATGTGCACTCCTATTTTAATCCATGTGCGAATCAATTTTATCACTTTTACGGGAAAAAAATGCTTAATTAATTATAATGGATTGATTAAATGTTTTTTAGACAAATTTTATTCTATTTTATCATAAAATTTTATTCTATTTTGTTTTATTCTAATTTATTTGATTTATAATGAGACATCCATATATAACCTAAATAACTAAAACTTTTAGAAGATAAATACGTGATTTTTAATCAAATTTTCTCGTAGTTAGAATAGAGTGAAGGATTCAGTTATAATTTAAACACTAATATAAAATTAAATTAAATTAAATTCTGTATTATTTTAAAAAAATTAAAACATCGTTAAAAAATAATTATATATTTAAGTGATAATTTTATTTAATAATAAATTATACGACGTTGTTTAGTCAATTTTTCATGGGTATAGTTTAAGAAAGAATTTAACTGACACGTGTAAAGTGAAGCATCCAAATTCGCGTGAAGCAGAATCTGAGCTAAAAGACCAAGTTAGTATGAGTAATAATAATATGGGTGACCCCGAAGCTGCCACGCATTGCGAGCGGGTGCGGTTAAGAATGAAGAGCGACTTTGTCAAGTTTGGTCTCTTTCAACAGAAACCTTCCTTCCGTCTACAACTTGTGTAATATCAACCACCCAAACACACACAAGATTAAAATGGCTTCGAGACTTGCAGCCAGTGCTTCTACTTCACGCTTATCAAGGCCTAAAAACCCACCATTCTTCTCACTTTCACACCGCAACTTCACTCTCAATTTCCATAACCCACCTTCTCATCCTCCACGCTCCAATGCTTTTCCACCACTTTTTATTCGCAAACCTGGTACATACACCCATCTTTAGTGTTTTCCATTTTATTCTTATTTTTCGTTTTTTGCCATTAATCGTTTTGGGTACGTACTCAAAGTGAACCTCACGTACACGTTCTTAATCTTGATTTGTTTGGTTGCGTTGTAGGGTATCAGTGGCACGTACGAGCTATTAGTGAGGCAGCGGCGGAACCTTCTATTTCTAATAAAGAAAGGGAAGCAGAGTCAACTAAAGATTGGAAGATTAAAATGTTGTATGACGGAGACTGCCCCCTCTGCATGCGCGAGGTTCACTTATTATTAATAAGTGTTGTTTTTGTGGCTCATAATTCTGTTGGCATTGATGGACACTTTTGCATGTTTTTGTCAGGTTAATATGCTAAGAGAGAGGAATAAGAGTTATGGCACAATCAAGTTTGTCGATATAAGCTCAGATGATTACTCTTCAGAGGAGAATCAAGGCCTTGACTATGAAACTGTTAGTCTTCGCTTTATGGTCTATGCTGAATTGCTGATAGTCACTTTTCATGTTTTCTCTTGTCTCTATAAAGATAAAAAATGTTTGGTTCGTAGCTTTAAAGTGAATCAAACGTTATGTTATCAAGTCCAGTAGCTCCTTTTCTTGTTTTGTGAATTAATTTGATGACAATTTTCTATGATCATTTATTCTGAGTGATGACGGATGACAAACTTTGATGTAATCACTGATAATTTTTATTTATGTATCTTTTGGTTTCGCGTCATACTTCGATTGCTAGATCTTTTTTTTTTTCATTCATTAGATTTTTTAAGGATTTTGGCTCTGCGAAGACATGCATTTTCACAAGTATGTACTAATTGATATTTGATAGATGTTATATGAAGTGTCAACCATTTCTTGCATGTTTTGACGTATAATACAATGACTGATTATTGTTTCCCCTCATAGGCTATGGGAAGAATTCATGCTATTCTCTCAGATGGAACTGTGATTACAGATGTTGAAGTACGGCTTCTGTCCTGATCTTCATTTCTAACCTAGGGAAATTCTTCCCACTTCTCTGCCTCCTGCTTCTGTAATAATATCATGATCCAAATAAGGATGCTTTTGAATATCACGTGTTTCGGAGAATTCATAATCAGAATATTAGTTGAAGTTATATCAATTTCAATCACAACATATGCATAATAGTTTAGTACCAATGAAACTTAAATATCAAAAATAATTCCAAATCCTCCTACAACATCTTCTTATAAATCCTCCTACTAATTAAATGAAGAAAGAATTAAATGCAGTGTTTCCAAGAAATACAGTCACCTTTTCATTTGATGCTTCATAGAGTATTAGGAGGATTAATCAGAGGATATAGCATTACTCAATTATCAATATCCAGTGTTGCTGCTGAATTATGAAAATTCTTCTACCACCATTGATTGATAATGATCATTGAATAAAAATTGACACCCAACAGGGGATTAAGGGATAAATCTGTGATATATGAATCTATTTCTGATGAGTGAAATTTTACCTGTTCCAATATGAAACTATTTTTTTTTCTTTTTTTGAGGTAAAATTTCTATATATGTGCATGTTTAATGCTTGTGGGTATTCTGCAGGCATTTAGGCGACTATATGAACAAGTTGGTCTAGGTTGGGTTTATGCCATTACAAAATATGAACCAGTAAGGCTTCCTATCTTCTTCTGAAGAACTATAGCTTATTTCTTTGTATATTATGTTATTAATGGAGGTAAACACCGTTTACAGGTTGGAAAAGTTGCTGATTCCATATATGGCATTTGGGCTAAATACCGTCTTCAAATTACAGGTGAAAGCAATGCACATCAACAATTTTGCTCCAGAATTTCCTTATGGTTATATTGCCATTGTTGTATGGCTTCAAGTAACACCTAAGATAGTTTTTTAACTTTAGTTGGGCTTATGTAGCCATGTCTCGTCTTTTGTTTAGTGGGAACAACATAGTCACATTATAAGCTCGTTGAAGCTCAGAATTATTCTAATAGACTAGACTATAATATTATGCTGTAACAAAATCAATTCATCAATGAATTAAGACTATCAAAATCAACTCATCAATGAATTAAGACTATCACTTTTAGTGGCATTTTTCATTTTTAACTATTTATACGGCAATATTTTCCACTGCCTGAGAGCAGGTGTCCCCAATGATTATGCTAACATTCTTTCAACTGATACATTAATTACCCATTTCTTGTTTCCAGGGCGGCCACCTATAGAAGAAATATTAGAAGCTCGGAAGAAGAAGGTAGGCATAATCTGCTGCATGTAGTATCAAGTTAAATTTAGCATAGAATGTCTCTGCAGAATAAAACATGAAGAGGGAAGATAGCAAGAAAATTTGAATAGGGAAGAAATCTCATAGTCGAAAAATAGTCTGAATATTGAAACAGTAGGATTCTTTGACAATCTGAACCTTGATTTGTAGTCTGTATCCCTTTAATCTTAAGTGTACCTGACCTTTATGATGCAAAAATTAAAGACTCTGATAGACTCCTGCATGATAGTATGGAACAGGATCAGCTGATGGATGTAGGTCTCACCAGGCCCATTATATGGCGTGTGAATGCTAGGATAAAGAATGCCAGTGCCACAGGCAGTTAGAATGTGGGGGAGAAGTTTGTTATACAGTACAGTTTACTATAAGAAAAGAGAATAGAAGAGAGAGAATGTAGGAAAGTATTTCGTGACTTAGTGGCACGGAGGGAAACCTATGGAATAGGAGTTGTAACTCTTGAAGAATTGTATCTTTGTTTGGGGTGTCATTCCTCATAGCTAAATAGTACATTAGTCATTTGCATTAACCTTTTCTGTTGCTGTTTTCTTCTATTCCGGAGTTCTGTCAGACTCCTTGTTTTGTCTTTGCCCATTATAATGGACAAAGTAGCACTAATGAGTAACTTAGTTGAGACATACATATAATCTAATGCTTCATACGAACACAGCAAAATGCTAAAATATGGTATACATTTACGATCATAATATTAAGAATTCTTGAATAATTTGGCTTTTAAATATTTGTTGAGGTCGTTGATAGTTTTTTTGGCATATAGTTTCGCTTTAATGTGCCTGACAATATGAAGTTTGTACTTGGTGCTGATCTGTTATCTTGTTTTCTGTCGTTGCAGGGTGATGAAGTATGCAAAGACAGCAATGCATGCAAGATGTAAATTTCGGAGATATTTGACTATGGTGTAAACTTCAGAAGGCTCGTTATTTGATTTTTTTATCAAATTTGATCCTCATCCTCCGAAGCAGACCTTTAAAAGATCTTTATTAACAAAAAGAATCCGACATAGATCGCTGTCACAGCATTTATGTCTGCCTCTTCATATGCCTCTTCATATGCATTTATGTCTGCCTCTTCACAGCATTTTGATTTTTGACTTTGATTTCAATTAGAAAATATTTTCTATGTCTAATTTGAATCATATCACCTAATAGCTCTAAATACTAGGAATAGATTTAGAATTATTAGTTGGTTAGGTTCTAGAATTTAATGCAAGGATTATAATTTGATAAATTGAGGAATCGTTGTTGGATTATAATCCTTAATAACTCTAAATGCAAGAAATTGATTTAGAGTAGCTTAATAGAATTGATTAATAGAATCATATTTATATGACATTATAGATCAATTGAGCTATATAGATGAAATTCAATCTCAACAGTCTCTCTTTCTTGTTATTTCCTATTTTTATTTACACTGTTTAATTTTAATCAATTTATATTTCAAATCAATAAATATCAAAACATATACAATGTATATAATTCTTTTATCAAGCTTTAAATAGGATATTAGAACCTACTATTATCTTACAAGTCTCTATGGTTAGACAATCCTTATTTCATCTTTACTACAGTAGACTTGGTCTGCTTGCTAAATATAAAAAAATTGCTTAAGAATATTAATGTCATCAAATTTCACAATAAATAAATATAATTATAAAATTAAATAATAATAGTTTCAATCTCATTATTTCCATACTTGTCATCAGTGAAAGGAACAACTTCTAAATTTAGTTCATCAAGAGAAATACTAGCAACTTCAAGAATTTAAGTTCCTTCAAATGGATCATATTCATCTCCACCAATATCTCACATTTTCTTCTAACTCTCACTATAATTTTTATGCTTTATTGAAAGAAGAAGATTTGTATGAATAAAGAATAAATTTTTAACTCTCTAGATTTAATTTATTTCTTTTCAAGGAGTGGATAAAGGAATATGTACTCCAATTTCTTTCACAATAAGAAGAACATAGTTGTGAAAGGAGCTTCAAAGAGATACCTTGAAATTTAGGAATTGTAGCTCCATACATTATCCACCATTTCTTTGGTTGCAAGTTCTACCTATCTTACAAGGAATCAAATTGGCTAAGTTCTCCTATGGCACTTGAGAATTTAACAAACTTTGTAGTAGTTTCTAGCCTTTCCTTTGAATTTGTAAAGTAATGTCTCAAATATTTGTTTCTTCCCACATAAATCTCATTGTCCTTACCTGGAGGAACTCAATTTGAAACTTCTTTAAGCCATTGTATACAATAATACCTATTATAGAAATACATGAATTATAAGGTTAACCTAATTGAAACTTGAAATAAATTGGACCTTCCATTTAGTGAATGAGCTAAACAATGAATTGGTGTGTAACTTTTAGTCCATTTATCAATTAAGATGTTGTATATCACTTCATAAAAGATGAATGTTGAGTCAATTTCTTTTCTTTATGTTGATATGTTGCTACTTTTACTGTTAAATCAAAGAGTCCCATTTTTTATAAACTAGATAAAGCTTTAGCTTATAAGTATCACAAAAATGAATCATATAATATATAGGCTCTTTGAAGCTTAAAATATAATCAATTTGATCCCACCAAAGGTCATTTAGAATTGTTTCCTTTACAAATGCAGCATTTTAGAATCATTCTCTATATAATGTGACCATTGTTCATTAATTATCATGAATTGAAGATCATGCTTAATGGTTCTTATTCTCTTTAACATCATAATAATTGAAGCAAATATTGTCTCAGCAATAGCTAATAACTTTCAACTGCACAAATTGATTATACATTGTTAGTCTCATTGAAAAGTTCATTTTGAAATTTTTAATAATGAAAGCATCATCAATAACAACAGAAATCCAATCACACTCACCATAAATATTCTCATTACTTGGTGTATTTTTTTAGAGCACAAATATTCTTGAGAGCAAGATTTAATGTGTGAACTACACAAGTTGTCCAAAATATATAGGGATGGATAGATTCAACATTTTGAACTTGTAGCCTTGTAAATAGGAGCATTATTAATAAATATTTGGACAATATTTTTTGGCCTAACCTCATCAATGGTTGACAAAATTAGATTGACAATGTTATACTTGTCTTTATATTCACTAGACCTATCAACAACCCTTTAAAACATTGGTCCTAAATTTGAGACTGCCATGAAAATAATTAGGTGTGTGTCATGGTAACTATATATTTTTTATGGGTATCGTACCCAAAAAATTTACACCAATAAAAAAGAGACACATAGCAAGTTAAAAAAATGTATTATTACATATAATTTATTTAAAAAAAATATTATTTGCTACATAATCTTATTATATATATATATATATATTATATTTCTTATTTTATTTTTCTACTATTTTTTATAAATTTTGAGTTTCAAATAAAATATAATTCATATTTAAGAAATTTTTATTTATTATAAATAAAAAGAATTATAACATAATATATTAATATAATAATTAAATAATTGAATATTAATAATAATAATAAAAAAATAAAAATATATTAATATATTATTATTATTATTTTATTTTTAAATTTTAATTCTTTTAGTTTTGATTGCATTTTATTTCTGTTCAAAGACTTAAACGCTCTTCAGCTTGTTTAAATATAGTAAATATAATAATTTATTATTAAATAAACTTATTGTTTAAACACATATATAAATATTTTTAGTTTTGAATAGAATATAACTTTTATTTATTATAAATAAAAATAATTATAACATAATATATTAATACAATAATTAAATATTAATAATAATAAAATTAAGAATATAAAAAATATATTAATATAATATTATTATTTCATTTTTAAATTTTAGTTTATATAATTTTGATGTAAATATAATAATTTATTTTTAAATAAATTTGTTATTTAAATATATGTAAAAATATTATTAGTTAAAATTTTTCATGTAAACTACTCTGAAAACTTTTAAGGGTACCATAGAATTTACCAATTAATTAATACCCTTCTTTATGCATCAGTTCAACCATTAGTAACTATACTCACATCTTTTTGACCAAATATCTTTTATCGGTTGGAGTAACCTTAATATGTTGGTCTTGTCTTTTTTCTTTTCAACAATTTGGTTCTTATAGCTTTGTAGCTTGGTGGAAGAAAACCTGAAATAAAAGTATCTATATATCTATATTATATATATATATATATATATAATTGACTACACCTACTTATTACTGAGTGTATTAAATTTTGAGACGTAACTTCATCTACTTATTACTTTATACCTTAAAATTCAGAATGTATAAAGTCATTCGCATTGACTTCACTTACTTATTACTCTGTGCAAAAAAATTCAAAACATATAACTTATGAATTAAAATTATATTTTATCACACTTATTATATTTTAATTATATTTAAAGAATATTTATTAATATTAATGGTTATATTATGTTACAAACGGCAATATAATTAGCTTAAATTACCGTTATTAAAATTAATTATAATATTTTTTATAATTTACGAATTAAAATTATTATTTGATTTTAACATAATCTATATTTTATTATGTACTTCAAACACTAAAATATATTTTAAATTAAAAAAATTAAACTTAAAAAATTATTAGTTTATAATATATGTTGTTAAATTAAATTTATAATGAAAGACAAATTTGCATATTTAAATTATTTTATTAATTCATTAAAATAATCTACATTTCAATATGTACTTCAAATATTAAAATGTAATTTGATAGAAAATTATTTGTTTATATTATATATTATTAAATTAAATTTCTAAAGAAAATACAATTTTACATGTTTAAATTACTTTATTAAATATTTTAATATAATCTATATTTTAATATTTACTAACAATACTAAATTGTAATTTAGTTTAAAAATACTACATTTATCAAATTATTAGCTTATAATATATATTGTTAAATTAAATATCTAATGAAAAGACAAGTTTACAAATTTAAATTATTTTATTAATTATTTTAATATATAGTTTAATATATATTTTAAAAACTAAAACTTACTTTAAAACTAAATAAATTATACTTACTTAATTATTAGTTTATATTATATATTGTTAAGATCAAATAAAATAATTTCAAATTACTTTCATAATTTGCATAATTTATGAATTATAATCATAATTAATTCATGCTTATTATTTTTGAATTTTATTTAAAAAAATTTATTAAAATTGATAATTATATAATGTTAAAAAAAATATTAACAAAACTATTGTAAATAATATTTAATAAAAAAATATTATAATTTATTATAAATAATTTAAACGAATTTCAAAATTTTCTATGTTAAATGTTGAAAATAGAAAAAAGAATATTGATTAAATTGTACAAAAATACTTTTGAAAAAATTTTATGAAGTTCTCGATTTATCTTTTAATTATAAATAAAAATGTATCTTTGTTTCTAACTTCTATTTAAAAGTTGAATGTTAATTAATGTTTTATATTATATATTATTAAATTATATTTTCAATGAAAAGATAAGTAAACTATTATACAAATAAAAAGACAACTTTTATTATATTAATTTTTTATATTCTGACTTTTTATATATCACTGGGTAGGACTTTATATCTACTTATATAAGTCATGTTTACACAAATTTTAAAAACTTGCTCACGATTCTTTCTATTGTTATCATTTTTCTTTGTATTTTGCAATCATGTCAGTTGTCAAGAATTATTTATCCACGTAAGTACGTGCATTTTCAAGTTTGATATTTTTTATTTTATTTCACTAAATTGTGTTATATATTTCAATTTAATTTTTTGAGTAAGCATAAAGATGCATTTTTTTAAATGATATCATGTATTGAATTTTATTGTTAACTAATTAATTCGTATCAAATTTATCATTATTTTTCATGCTTTGGTAGGAGAACAACAAGTTGCAATGAAGATAAATGGACTTTTCTTAATGATTTGAATTCAACAACAGATAATTGTATTAAACCTATATCTCTAACCATGGAAACTACAAACCAAAAAGAAAGAGAAAATTAATGTATAAATTATAAATTTGTAATGTATTATTCAAATTTTTTAGATAATACAATAATTTATGTTTAATATTTTCTTTTAGGTTACAACTTGAAAAAAATGAAGTAAAAAATGAAGAATAAAAGGCAACAATAGAAGATTTAGAAGATTGAACCATTTTTATAGCAATATTGTATAAATACTTTTAATATTATGTAGAATTTGAAAAGTAAAATGTCATCAAATATTTAAATTTTTTATAAAATAATTTTGTTATCTTATTATATACATTTCCCTTACTTTATTATTATTATTATTATTATATTATTATTATTATTATTATTATTATTATGTATTGACTTTATTTTTAACATAAAATTTGCCTAAATTTTATATG